GAATGTTTGTGGAAAAATTTAACACATTTAGAATAACTTGATACTATTATTTCTTAAGGTGTTTGAAGAATTGCTGCTTGATGCAGATTGGAGTGTAAATGCTGGAAGCTGGATGTGGCTTTCCTGTAGTTCGTTTTTTCAGCAGTTTTTTCACTGCTACTGTCCTGTGGGTTTTGGGAGAAGAACTGATCCTAATGGGGACTACATCAGGTAATCTCATGTACAATCCACCCCATAAATATTATAAAGCCATCTTTGAAGTTGCCTGAGTTTTAAACAGCTATGTGTTTTAAACTATACTTTTTTTTCTTTAAAGACGTTATTTGCCTATACTTAGAGGTTTCCCTGCAAAATACATATACGATCCTTGGAATGCCCCAGAGAGCATCCAGAAGGCTGCAAAATGTGTAATAGGAGTTCATTATCCTAAACCAATGGTAAATCATGCAGAGGCAAGCCGCCTGAATATTGAGAGGATGAAACAAATCTACCAGCAGCTTTCACGATACAGAGGCTTGGGTATGACTGTAGTCTACTTCGTATATTTAATTGAGGTTTTGTCTCCCCTTCAAGTTGTAACAACCCATTCTGTAGCTATGGGGGCCAGATATGAGCCCAGTGTCGGGGTAGCCTAGTTAACCAACAAAAGTGGATTATAAGAGCAGTGTATCCTTCTAACACTTGTCTTTTCCCTCTCACTCACCTCTTCCCAGCCCTTTGCAATTCATCTGGTCTGCACCTGCCTATGGAGTTCGTCCTGAAGTTTCTTTAAGATCATGTCATCTCCAGGGCATCAAAATAGACTTGTATAGATTAATTTTACTACCAGATAGAATTACTGCAAGAAAAAGTTACAGTGGAAAAGGTCTTGCAACCTTAACTATACAATCTGCTATTCACAAACATGGTAGTTTATCTTTATAAATTAATTTTAACCTTTGTTTACATTCTTCCATCTATTTAAAAAAGTCCACTTCTCCCACTGTTGTGCAACATGTGCATTTGTTGACACCTGCCTGTCCAAATAATGGCTGTATTCCAGGGATGTGGGGTATATACATAGATATGAAGTAACTTGTGATGTCTTTTACACTAAAATGCACTATATTTAACATATGCAATTAACGTTTCTTGCAAAAATATTGACTTTTTGATAAGTAAAATAATTATAACTTAAAATTACTTGGAAAGATATTCCAATTTACAGTAGAGGAGGAAAAAAATAATTCTCCCCACTGATGAAGTTCAACTACTAAAGAAAATACTGTTGAGAGACAAGGGAAGATATATACACTAAATCAAAACACATGTGCTTGCCTCAATATTGTTGGCAATGAATTTTGTTTCCTTGATTAGGTCTTCTTGCAACAGTGCCTTCTAACCCAAATGGAAATGGAAATGGTGGCCTAATGGGATATTCACCAGGAGAAAACATCTCTGGTTGTAGTAGTGCAGGTGGTAAGTAGAATCTCCTATTCTGACAAAAGTATTGGACCTGAGAAGTTGCATAAACGCCTTAAGTGAGCCCCCTAGCATGCTACAGTAACTCCTCACTTAACGTTGTAGTTATGTTCCTGAAAATTGCTACTTTAAGCAAAACGATGTTAAGCAAATCCAATTTCTCCATAAGAATTAATGTAAATAGCAGGGGTTAGGTTCCAGGGAAATTTTTTTCACCAGACAAAACACTATATTTTATTTATATTTATATCTATAGACACACACACACACACAGTATAAGTTTTTTAAACAAACAATTTAATACTGTACACAACAATGATGATTGTGAAGCTTGGTTGAGATGGTGAAGTCAGAGGTTGGAAGAGGGTAGGATATTTCCCAGGGAATGCCTTACTGCTAAATGATGAACTAGCACTCGGCTGAGCCCTCAAGGGTTAACACGTTGTTAATGTAGCCTTACACTCTGCAAGGTGGCACGAATGGAGGGAGGGGAGACAGAGACACACACCATGTGTGCATTGCCCCTTTAAGTACTTTGACCTCACTCTAAGTACACTGCCTTTTTAAGTAGATCAGGAAGTTGAGACAGCAGCTGCTGCCAGCAGGCTCCCTCCGTCCTGAGCCCTGTCATGTCTTCCTCCTCTTCTCCCCCAGCCCCCCAGGGAGATGAGGTGCAGGGGGAGAGGAACACCCTGATATCAGCCCCCTCTTTCCCCACCTCCCTCCCCCCTTACACAGCAAGCAGGAGCAGCTCCAAGACATAGGCAGGAGCAGCACATGGCAGTGGGGGGAGGGACAGCTGAACTGCCTGGCAATTAGTAGCCTGCTGGGCAGCTGCCACACAAGGAACTTAAGGGAGCTGATGGGGGGCTGTCGGTTCACCCTGGTTCCAAGCCCCCACCAGCTAGCTCCAACGGCCTGCTCTTCCTGCAAGCAGTGGACAAAGCAGGTGGCTGCCAAACAACATTATAAGGGAGAATTGTGCAACTTTAAATGAGCCTGTTCTCTAATTGATCAGCAACGAAACAACGTTAACTTGGACGACGTTAAGTGAGGAGTTACTGTATTATGTAGAAACAGCTACCCTCTTGAAAACAGTTTTGTGAAAACGGCTCTTAAGAATGATTTCAGATCCACTCTTCCACCATAGCTAATTTTTGCATGATTATATAAATGTTAGAGTCGCTCATCTGAAGAATTGGTATATTCAGCATAAGTAAGTAGAAAGGAATGTTCTTTAGAAAGGAATGGTCTAACCCTTGTAAAAGTATTAATACATTTCAAGCAATTCTTCAAAACATTTGTACATCTATTTCCCTCCTAGGAATCATTAATACCTTGTGATAGTGGTAACATCATAAATTAAATCAAGCTGTAAACTCTGAGGCAAGGCCCATTTTTGCTATATTTGTACCGTGCCTAGTACTTTGGGGACTGTGGATACTCTAGCTACCAACCCAGTACAAATAATGATGGTAAAATATCCCAAACATACCTACAATACATAATGTATAACTTTTCAATTGGGTTTTAATTAAAAATATTTTTAGCCTACAAACATCCTTTAGGTGATGTACAGATGTTAGTATTTTATATACAGAATATAGGGAATAAAACATGCTCTGAAACTTAAACATCAAAGGCAAAACTTTCAAAGGGGCTTCAGTCCAGCATACAAAGTTGAGGAGACAATTTTGCATTATCAGATTCTTGTGTACATAAATTGCATTTGTATTTTTCATATCAGGAATGTGGGTCTCAGCTACTTGGTTGATGCACAGAGATCTGAATTGGTTTGAGCAATACCTTGGACATAAAATTTTCCCCTTAACTTCAGAGGTTACATTTAAAAAAAATCTTCATAAATTTCACTTTACAGAACCCTTTATAGCTTTAGAATGCAATATTCAGTAATTCCCATTTTGTACAAGACAGTACATATTTCAAACATTACACTTAATTATTTATTAAATGTTCAATCTGTGCTGTATTCTATGCTAAAATTTTTTTTTTAAAATGTCCTTTTTTCAGGAGCTCAACTGGGAAGCACTGATGGTCATACAGTGGGCGTTCAGACATGTGCCCTAGAAGACTCACATGCAGGATCAAGTGGAATACAGCAGCACGGTATTATTCAGCAAATAAAATGTGTTCAGAAAAGTTCTCATGATTCTTGAAATTGTTAAAAACCTCAGTTTCCCTGGGCCACTTCTCCTTTGGCCCTATGCACCTTCCTGCCCCTTTGCAGCAGGGCCGCAGCCTGGCAGGTAATGGGTTGGAGCCCGTATCTGCTCCCCCAAGCCTACCCAGCACTGCTCTGTCCAAGGTGCTACTCCTTTTGTCAGGAGCCAGTCCTTCTCCCTTGCTGGCCAGGGAGTGACTGCCTTCTCCCTAGCTGGGCAGCCTTTATATAGGACCTAGCTGGGTCATGATTGGCTGCCCCTTCCCCCATCCTGATTGGCTCTCCCCAGGTCTTCACTGATTGGCTGCTGGTCTGCGCAGCCTCTCTGGCCTGGTTGAGCCCTTTTTCTCAGGGGGTGGGGCTCTGCCCCACGACACACTCCCATTGCAATCTCGGCAGAGGTTGAGGGTTGACAGTACAGATGTGGAGACAGGACTTCACTCTCACACCTTACAGGCCTCCAGAACATGGCTGAAGCAAATGTTTGGGTAGAATAGAAAAACTTGTTCTTGCTTCTGCAGTACATGCTCTGTTGATAGACAATTCCAACACTGAGGGCTGTCGGGCAATTTACATGAAACAGAAAATTCTGGTTCATCCCAGTTTAGTTGTGCTGTTGACTCCTGTTATCTTAAGAGAATAGTAAAAAGGATGAGGTGATTGGACAGTGTCAAAACTAAAGTTGGTAGTAGTTAGAAAAGGGGTGTGAAGAGGGGTGTGTGTGTGTGTGTAGAGAGAACTTCTTAGTATGAGAATTTTTCTGCAAACAAGAATGATTTAGGTCAGACTTCTCTGTGTTTGGGAGTTCAGGGTTTGGCTCCCCTTGTTCATACAAAAGCTTAATGGATACAAGCGTATAACTGATAAATAAAAGGAAAACACAGGAATGATTTAAGTAAATGTATACTGTATTTTAACAGGTTATTCTCAAGGCAGCAGTATTTTACATTATGCCCACGGAGACCATCAGCAATCACATTTACTGCAACAAGGTGACTTATGTTTTAAAAGATGTCATTTGGATACATAAAAAACAAAATAGTTTCTCAAGTTAGGTGTTGATTTCATTTTTCAGGAAGAACAGGAAGCACTGGCATCAGCACTGGGAAACGCCCAAATCCAGAAAAGGAAACTCAGAGCATTGGGCCGAAAGTCCAGCGACAGAGCACTAATTAGATTGGTAAGAAAGGAGAACTCTAAAACATCTGGTTGGTGAGCTAAATTACTATATAGTGTGTGCACCCATTAATGTACAATGTGTGTGCTGTTGCATGGTATAAAGCGGAGCAAATACACATAACTGCTGACTGAATGTGGCTGAAAAGGAACAGCAGCTATGCTCTGCTTTCTTGTGCACACAATTGTGATGGAAGTGGAAGGCTGAAAAGCAAGTTCTTCTTTGAGTGCTGGCCCTATGTATATTCCATTGTGAGTGTGCATGCACCTTAGACTAGAGAATTTTTGAAAGCAGTGTCCATAGGTCAGCGCCTGTGCCCCTACTCTCTTCATGCTCTGCACCAAGTATATAAAGGATGGGGAGGACTGATCACCTTTTTCAGTTCCTTCTTACTACCACATGGCCTAAGTGTGAGTCGCCAGTGTCCAGACCTGCTTCTTTCTCTTCAGCCTGATCCTTAAAACCTGTAAATATTTAAAAGTTTACCCGCTTTATCTTTAGCATAGTTAATGTTTTTAATAGTTCTATTAGTATAGCTAATGGATAGTTAAATCCCCTCCCTGGGGACTCATGTGCATCCCAGTATGTAAATTAGATTATGCCTAGATTATCTGGCTTTAAAAGCTGCATCTCCTGTACTTGCACCTTCCTGGTCAGTGACAACCACCAGCGCTGCCTGTACTACTTTGGGGAAGTGCCTGCCATCTTCCAGATGCAGTATCTGTCACTACTTTCCTAGCTAGATCCCTACAGGTGCGAGAATTCCGGCTTAAAAAACACCTCATGGAAAAGGCTACGAAGCCCCAGTCAGACCCAAGTCGAAAAAACCCCCTGTATATTAGCTAGAGTCGTCAAGGAGTCTGCCTCCTGGTGTGAAGCCTGATGCAGGAGCGATGGAGAATATGCCTATAGACCCTTCATCAGGGGTTCCACACAGGAGCAGAGCATGCTTGTATAAGCACAGAAGCAGATCTCCCCTCTAAGTCCACTCCAAAGAGGACAGATCTCTCCCTGTCCAATTCAGGCAAGTCTTTGTGCCCAGGGTCAATCAGCGTTGTCTTGGCAAATCACACTGGATTTCTGACTACATTTAAGCTCTGCTACAATCTTGCTAAAATGTCTCCTCCACCAAGAATAATAGCTCACTCCATTGGGGCTCAGTCCACTTCATCAGCTTTTCTCAGCAACGTTCCAGTAGCTGTTGTATGTAAGATAGCAACATGCTTGTCTGTGCATTCCTTTTCCACTCATTATGCCATCACTCAAGTCTCCTGGGATGATGCCAGTTTAGTAACAGACTTGCCAGTCTCTCTTCAGATGATCCAAAGTCCCTCCACCTGTAAGGGAACTGCTGATGAGTCACCTACAGTAGAACATATATGTGCACTGGAAGGAGAAAAAGCAGTTACTTACCTGTATAGTAACTGTTGTTCCTCGAGATGTGTTGTGCACACACACATTTCATTACCCGCCAACCTTCCAAACTACTTCAGACATTACATACAGCAATGTGAAGGAACGGAGCAGCGGGCAGCAGATATTCCCCTTGTATACCCTCACCTGAAGGCATGAGGAGATCACGGCAGCATGCACTGCCTAGTAGTACTACTGCACTGAGCACACAAACCTCTACATTGGAATGTATGTGTTCACAGCACGCCTTGAAAAACAACAGTTACCATACAGATAAGTAACCATTTTTTCTTGCTAGTTTAGACTCTCCTCTTACTCTCAAGACAACGGATCTTTCCCTTAGTTCGCTACAGATTCACCTGGCGCAATCGGTGCATGTCACCCACCATCGGGGGGTTATTCAATCTTTACTCACCTACCAACAGCCAGTTTCCAGAAGGTTCTGATTAGAACCTTTCTGCCAGTAAGGAAACCAACCCCTGACTGGGACCTTAATTTAGTACTTTCAGGTCTCACTAAGCTACTCTTTGAACCAGTAGCTATGTGTTTCATGTCTCACCTGTAGATAAATGTTGCCTTCTTCATTGCTATCACCTTGGCCAGAAAGGTAGGTGAACTTGGGGTCCTAATGGCTGTACACAGTATCCCATAAGGACAGAGTCTCTACATCCAACAACTACATCCAAAATGTATTCCTAAAATTGTTCCATCATATAAACCAGTCAGTTCATTTACCTGTGCCTTTCCAAAGCCTTATGCCTTTAGTGAGGAGAGGAGACTTAATTCTCTCGACGAATGATGAGCGTGGTCATTTTTACCTGCAGAGAACAAAACCGATCAGAAAAGTCATCTAGATTGTTCATTTCCATACCAGAGTGAGTTTGAGGTCAAGCTATATCTTCTCAGTGGATCTCTGGGTATATCCTGTTCTCTTATCAGATGGCACAGCTTCCTCCCTCACATGGGGTAAAGATTGCTTATGCAAGGGAATAAGCAGCCTCAGAAGCATCACTTCAAGAAGCATCCCTGCTTGGTATTTGCAGGACAACCTACATGGAGTTCCATCCACACATTCATGAGGCATTACTCTTTGGTCCAAGACTCTGCCTTTGACTCATCCTTTGGGGCAGTGGTTCTACAAGCAGCTATACCACCTGTGTTCTTGCACCCGCCTCCTCTCTGAATACTGTTTGTCAGTTATCCATCGGAACCAGCACTCAAAGAAGAAAGGGAAATTGCTTACCTTGTTGTAACTGAAGTTCTTCAAGATGTGTGGTCCCTATCTCTCTTCCACTTCCCACCCTCCTTCACCTCTGCTTCAGAGCTTGGCAACATTCATGGTAGAGAAGAAACTGAAGAAGCAGGTGGTCTGCCCCACTCCTTATACCCTCACGATAGAGCACAGGAAGAGTAGGGGTGCAGGCATGGACCAATAGACACTACTTGCAAAAATTCTCTGGTCTCAGGCACCTGGAACGCATGCGTACCCACAGTGGAATAGATAGGGACTACACATCTTGAAGAACTCCAGTTACAACAAGGTAAGTAATTTCCCTTTGTATGGGATTGGATAGTGAATTGGCCTTGGGGCTGTGGTACAGGGCTTTAGAAAGAAAAGCGCTCCTTATGGATGTCCTAAGATGTGCATTTAGGCCTTGGCTCCTCAGATTCTCAGGCTCTGCATGGTTTCAAGGCCAAGACCTCTGTGTGATCTGTACCACTGTTAATTTCTCTTAATGTGAAAGAGTAGCATGTAGTGTGGGGTTTTTTTTTTTTTCATGCTGTCATAGCCATATGTTTTTTACACTTTCCATTCCTTGGGTTCTTCCTGTGATGGGGAGGATTAGCTAAGCATAAAGGGCCATAACTGCAAGTTTAATTCTTTGACAGCACTATTAGTCAATTTTCTCATGGTAAGATCAAATGCGTCTTGCAGCCAGTGTTACTGCATGTTGACACATCTTCATAAAGACATTGCAGTACGTTGTTGACACTGCTGTGATTTCTGTGGCTCTGTCTCAGATTAAGTCAGTCTCCTCTGATTCTTTATCTCCATCACCCTACTGGCTTCTTGAAGCATTGGGAATGGAATCTCGAGACCCTGCTCCATTTGCTCCGAACTACACTTCCACCCCGTTATCTTACATATCTCAAGCAATGTGGATGTGCTTCACTGGTGGTTCTTCGAGTGATATCCCCAGGGGTGCTTCACTGTAGTTGCGGCAGTGCCTTTGCGTCTGGAGTCGGAGATCTTCAATAGCAGTGCCCATCGGACCGCACATGCGCACCTCCCCTCCCCTGCGCTGTGTGCAGGTAGTATACATAACGCTATTCGGTCCGACTGCCCTCAGTTCCTACTCTACTGCCTGCATTCTGGTACGGAACAATTAGCAGAGCCCACTTAGGTAATGTCTTACCTGTTTTCCCTCTCGTAGTTAGTTAGCTCCTTCATTTTCTTTTCTTATCCTTCATCCTTTAAAAAAAAAAACAAAACCTTTTTTGTTTGCCCTATTTCCCATCAGGGAAACTATTCCCTCACCCTTATGCAGGGCTCCTCCGGGTTTAAGCGTGTGTGTTATGTGGGGCCGCCTTCTCTATAACAGACAGCCACGCCCAATGTATCTATTTCCTGGGAGAGGGACACGTTTCCCAGAAGTGTTCCCACTGTCTGGGCTTAAAGCCCAAGAGCAAGGAAAGACAGGGACCTTAAACTCAAACTATTCCTCATGGAAAAGTTCCTGCGACCAGTCTCGGACCCTGGTTCTTATTCCTTACTGGAGAGACCCTCACACTCAGCAAGGTCATCTGCCAACTCTCACTTCCCTTGCCTGAGTAAGGGAAGATCATCCTCTAACCAGGCTGACACTTAGAAGAGAGCCGTCCCTCCTTCAGCGCCTGAGGCACAAAGTGCAGGAATGCCATCTCTGGCTAGATCTGTAGTGCGAATGGCTTCTGAGAAGAGGCACAAAGCTGCTCCTAGACTGACTACCTCGGCCCCTGAGAGTAAGTCTAAGGACCGTGCCAGGGCGAAACAGCAGGTATCAGCGCTACCTCCTGTTGTGGGCAACCGAAGCAAGCCCTTTATCTCTTCAACGGCTCCAGGTCCATTTTTTGTGCCGAGGACGCTGTCTGCACCACCACTGACAAAACAGCTGGCTCCAGTGAAGCCCTCAGCCCTGACCTGCGCACGGCACTGAAGCTTTCAGCTCTGAGAAAGACTCCAGTAGTGTTGCAAACTCCTACTAAAGCTACGGCTCTCAAAAGCACTCTGGCGCAATCTGCTGACTCTTTTTTCCATATCACACCTCAGCACCGTGCTCAATACAGGCACTGAGCAGAGATCACTCGCAGGAATTCACACAGCTGTCAGACCTCACTATATCTGACACTGCAGACTCTCCGCTTCTCAGACAGGAGGTGTCCCAAATCTCACCCACTTCTCAATCAACACACTCTTCATGCTGTCTCACAGGGACAGGACCTCCTTTCCTTAGTGATGTTGAGGAGGATGAAAAGACGCTCTTGCCCCACCAACATCAGGGCAGTTGACATCAACTTACCAGCCTTACCCTGCTGCAGTTCAGGGCACCCAGCCTTTTCAGGGGTCCCCATGAATGCAACCATATATTCCCTTTCCCCCTAATTGGCCATATTGGGACCCCTGGGCCATGTATAGGGCACAATTCGGTAATCCCCCACCACTGCAAATATGCCGGCCTCCATCCATTCCCTTCTCAACAATCTCTCGACCTCCAGAACCACATACTCCGTAAATACCACCACTGGAGGAGGAACTGGAAGGAGAGCAGAATGGGGAGGTACCTCCGGTCTTCCCATTTTCTTCATCTTCACCTGATGGAGCCATCATGCCACCTCCTCCCACAGTGGCTGATGATTTTTGTCACTTTCAGGAGTTAGGGAGTCAGCCACTCTACGAAACAAAGATCCCACTTGAGAAGGTCAAGGAGCAACAACATAAACTAATGGACATTCTCCATACCTTCTCAACAACAAAAAATGCCCTAGCTATTAACGGTTCACTACTTGAACCTGCAAACCTTCTTTGGCAGACTCCAGCCTCTATCCCACCTACATGCAAAAGGGTGAATAGGAAATATTATGTATGTGAAGAAAATGTGGGGTTTTTATTTTCACATCCTGCCCCAAATTCCCTTATGGTGAATGTGCTACAAGAGAAGAGCAATCAGTGCCAATCCAATCATCCTGACTGAGACTGGAAAGATTTAGCTCTCCTGGGTAGAAAATCCTATTCATCTGCTACCCTCCAATTTTGAATTTCTAACTATGAGGCCCTTATGGCCAAATAAGATTGTAAAAAATTATTCTGAGCTGGAGTAATTTTGCCAGGATCTGCCAGAGGAAAAAAGGGAACAATTCCTGTCCCTCATTTCGGAAGGTCACTTAATAGCCTGCACGGCCCTGCAGGCCCTCCTTGGACTTAAATGACACAGCTGCCCGATACTGCGGTAGTAATGTGACGTGTATCATGGTTGAACCTTTCAGGATTCCCAAAGGAGATGCAAAATACGGTCAAGGATCTCCCGGTCGAGGGACAAAAACACTTTTCTGAGCACATGGACAACTCCTTACACTCACTGAAAGACTCCTGAGCCACTGTAAAATCCCTTGGTATGTACACACCACAGCCAAAACAAACATTGGGAAAATATCCACTCCCTCCACGATCTCGCCCTCAGCCATACTACCCACAGCAGCAGTTTGACAACCAAGGCCATTGTCGCCGACATCCCAACAGGTGCAGACAATCACCTGCACGAGGGACACCTGGGCCCGAACACACTCTAATAAGCAGCAAATTTGAAGGTGTGGTCAAGGTCCAGAGACCCTCCTGCCTACTCCTGTTGCCCCTACCATCTGTAACGCCATCTACACACGGATAGTTCGGCAACCGCCTAGCTCCATTTTTACCATCTTGGATGCTCATTATCTTGGACAGATGGGTTCTGGAAATAGTAAAGGTTACTCCATTCCCTTCCTAACTTTACCATCCTGCCAACCCCCCCTCCACATCCCTTTTCAGGGACCCCTTACAGGGGAGCCCATCCTGGAGGGGAAGGTGAGGCATCTTCTTCAACAGGGAGCCATAGAACCAGTCCCTCCACAACACAAAGGATGTGGTTTCTACTTTCACTACTTCATGGTACAAAAGAAGTTTGGCGGTTGTTGCCCCATCCTAGACCTTCGCAATCTCAACAAGTTTGTGAGACTACAATGTTTGAATATGGTCACCCTATCCACCATCATCCCAGCACTGGAACAGGGGGGATTGGTTCTTGGCCCTCAACCAACAGGACACATACTTTCATATTGCAGTAAACCCTGCTCACAGACATTTCCTACAATTCATTGTTGACCACGGTCACTACCAGTACAGGGTACTACCCTTCGGACTATCCACAGCTCCGTGAGTTTTTTCCAAAGTACTTGCAGTGGTCGTGGCCTTCCTCCGCAAACAAGGCATCACCGTTTTCCCGTATCTAGACGACTCTTCTCAAAGTGCCATCCAAGACAGAAGCTCTCCAAGCAGTCCACACTACAATGACCCTCTTTACAAAACTGGGCCTCTTTATCAATTTTGAAAAGTCCACACTAACCCCAGTGCAAACACTGGAATTCATTGGCACTCTACTCGATGCCAAGCGGGCAAGAGCATTTTTACTACCTCACAGGTTCACAGCGGTAACACAACTAGTCTCAATCACCAAAGCATGCCCCCAAATCCCAGCACATACATGCCTCCAATTCTGGGACATATGGCTGCAGCTACATTTAAGGTCAAACACACAAGGCTGCATATGCAGTGTCTTTAGGGCTGGCTCCATACAGTATATCTTCCTCACAAGCACAGCATGCAAAAACTCCTGTCCATGCCAGCCCAGGTCAAGGAGTCACTACTGTGGTGGACGTGCCTGACAATGTCTGTGCCAGGGTCCCTTTTCTTCAACCTCCACCTACCATGATACTTACCACCAATGCCTCCCTCCTCAGCTGGGGAACACATCTATGCAAGCACAGTATGCAGGGCAGATGGATGCCCACCGAGTCCACCTTACACATCAACCTCCTGGAACTGAGGGCAGTCCGCAGTGCCTGCCAACATTTCCTACCACTCCTCAGAAACTGGACTATTTGAGTAATGACAGACAACCTCTCTTGTATGTATTCCATCAACAGGCAAGGAGGTGACAGGTCCCATTCCCTACGCTCAGAAACTATCAAGCCATGGAATTGGCGTATGCACAATGACATCTCCATCTCTGCTGCGTATCTCCCTGGACTTCAGAACACAATAGCGGATACGCTGAGCAGAACCTTCTCACACTAGCACGAATGGCAGCTCGACATGAGAGCACTCCGACCCATCTCCCGCCAATGGGGTCACCTCACCATAGACCTTTTCACCACTCAGAATGCCCGCTGTCCCCAGTCTTGTTCCAGAGCAGGGCTGGGATTCTATTCACTAGGGGATGCATTCCTTATGAACTGGAATGCACCACTTCTCTACGACTTCCCTCCCTTTCCCCTCCTGTTCCAAGTCTTACTCAAGATACAGGAAAATCGAGCTCTGGTTATACTAATCACACCGACATGGCCACAACAAGTCTGGTACATGCACCTGCTTTGCATGACACTCTCTCGGCCTATAAACCTTCCCCCAGCATCATGGCTCCTCTCTCCGGACAGGGGACACATTCAGCATCCCAATCCACAGATGCTCCCCTGAAAGCTTGGCTCCTTCATGGCTCTGGGATTCTGAAATAACCTGTTCAGATTCAGTAAAACATACCTTGATAAAAGCAGGTGCGAGTCTGCCAGACGTACCTATTCTCACAAGTGGAACTGGTTCCAACTTTAGTATGCCGACAGACAGGTTGATGCAGCCTGCACTCCATTAACTCTCATATTGGACTACCTCCTTCAACTCAAACAGCACGGATTGGCTTTTAGTTCTCTAAGGGCATGGCTACACTTGCAGATGTAGAGCGCTTTGAGTTAAACCAGCCTTCGTAGAGCGCAGTAGGGAAAGCGCTGCAGTCTGTCCAGCTACAAGCGCACTGGTGTGGCCACATTAGCAGCTCTTGCAATGGCCACAGAGAGCAGTGCATTGTGGTAGCTATCCCAGCATGCAAGTGGCTGCAACGTGCTTTTCAAATGTGTGGGGGGGTGGAGTGTGACAGGGAGTGTGTTGTGTGTATGTGGTGGGAGAGGGAGTGGGTTTTGGGGAGGCTGAGAGCATGTCAGCATGCTGTCTTGTAAGTTCAGACAGCAGCAGACCCTCCTCCGACCCCCACCTCACTCTCTCACACACACAGCATTCCACAGTAATGGTTGCTTTGTCTCGGAGCAGATAAGCAGCCGGCTGTCAGAAACGGAGCTTTCAAAGGGGATATCCTCATTCCTACAGCAAGTTCAAAGCAATGAGAAGAGTGG